AAAATAAAAGGAAAAGTTGGAGCACGTTTAATTTCCCCTTCTGGATTTTCACCAAGACGACATCTGCTTTCTCTCTGTGTGGAAAGTAACTGCTGCCGGGAACATTTACAAAACAAAATTGTTTGTTTCCAAGAGCTCCCTGGAAGAGAAACAGCCCAAAAGGAAAAGAACTGACCAAAAACTTATTTCCACAGAAGAGGACTCTCTAGATCTGTCCATTTTCTGTTTCTTGATGCTGCTGTCAGGAACTGGGAGCTGAGCTCTGTGCAGAGAACATAAGACCAGTCCGCAGCTTGTTCCTGGCATGGTTCCTGGCCAGGGAAAGCCCTTGATGTCAGGAAGCAGAACCTGATCAATGGGATGTGGGAACCGACTGGTGGGAAAGCGGCATGTTTCAGCCTGTCAGACTGCACAACACTGGCACATCCCCCTGGGTGGTATTTTTATTCAGAGATATAATGCTGATTTGTGCCAGTGGTTGGAAGTATGTTTCATCCTGGGGAAAGAGATCAAACAATGTGAAACCAGAGGCTGGATCAAACATGGAATGAGAAGTATCACTGGTGAACAACTGTTGAAGAGACCAAGCACAAGCTGCAAACGCTTGCCCAGAGTGGGTTTTGAGGCTGGATGTACCTTTGGCATCCCAGGTGAATCTGGTCAGACCTCCCCCTTGCCCAGCATGAGCAGCATGGCTGGAGGGATGCTGCCTGACCTAGGGGAGGTTCATGTCCATTGTACCAAAGCACACAGCGCCCTGCAACCCAGCACTTCATCCTCATGATGGTGGCCCGTTCCCAGATCTCTTACAGGGGTCTGGGTTGTCAGGTTCCATGCAGGGCATTTTGGAGATTGTGTGGCAGGCAGGTGATGAGGGAAGGAAAGCCTCGCTGGGCTGATGGTGCAAAAAAGCCAGTGGGCAGCTCTCCTCCTGCACCTCCTACCTGCCCAGCTCCTGACAGCCCAGCAGCCCATCCTCTTTCAAGGTCCCCAACCCCATGGGGCTGGTTGATGGCAGCCAGGGAGGGGGCAGCCATGCTGCCCTGCACAGGCGGGAGCTGCAGCCAAGGGGAGCAGGGTGGAAAGGAGGTGGGAAGCATGGGAGTCTCACAGCAGTGTTTTCCCATCCCTGGTGCCGATTCTGTGGCTCTCAAAGGTGTTGAAAGGCTAATTATGTGACATGCTGTGAGGGGTTTGGGCACAGCTGTTGTGGAATCTGTAAGCAAATCCAGTAATTTAATTAAAAAAGAGGCAGGTTCTCTCACACACATCATCTCCACTTGCTTATTTTGGACTGCATGATCTATCATCTGCTCCGTGGTTTCTTATTTACTGCTAGCTTGAGGATTAGTCTAATCTTTTTTCTCTCTTTCCCCTCTGTCGCCCATTCTGGTCTTTGCTTTATTTCCAAATATCAGTCAGCAGCCATTTCACCTGAGGCTTTCCCATTTTGCAGGCAGGTCAATGCAATTCAGCTCCCACCCCATTGCTGATGGACTTGGTGTGGACCTTGGCCTCTCCTCACTCCTTACCTTGAGAGGACAGAGCATCTCCCACCTCTGCCAAGGGAGCACAGAGCTCTTCCTCCAAAACCTGGGGCTCTGAGCACTGCTGGTTTGGGAAGGTCACCAAAGGCTTTCCCACCCCGCAGCCCAGGTGAGGACTCCACTTGGTCCCCAGCAGAAAAAGGTGTTTCCACAGTGCCTCAGACTCACAGATTTAATAACAGCAGCAGCTCACTTGGAGAGTCATCAGCGGTGATAAACTCAGTCCCATTCTGTTTCAAAATTGGTTTAAGAGAGATGCCTGGCTGTTTAATATTTAAGCTGAATGTTTAATGTTTAAACAGGGAAATTGTTCTGATTGTCAGAAAGGGCATTAAAGCAGGATGGAAACTGGTCTATAATCTCCGACAAACGCTGCCCTTTTGCTGCAGCAGCGTGGTGCCTGGGAGCTGCTTGTTTTAATCAACCTTTTTCGTTTCATGTGCTGCTTACCACTCCCACAGCCGTGAGACATGCGTTTTCCCTGCAAAGAGGGGAACACTGTAGCTGGCCCTGTTGTACAGTTTGAGTCCACTTCAAAACCAAAACAAATTGCAATAGAACTGTGCAAGGATAAGGTGAAAAGCGAAGCTGGATGGTGTTGGCACATGGGTGTATTCCAGATGATTTGGGGTCCCTTTTGCACAGGCACACAAAAGCTGTGAAATTCAGATGTCAAGTTTAAAGTCAGTACAAAAACGAAAGGCTCTATGACACAAATGCCATGTATGGATGAATATTTTTGAACAGCTATGGACAGTGTTATTCAGGCGGTGGAATTATCCCCCTGGAGGAACTGTGTAACAGTGCAGAACCGTTTCATGCCACAAAAGGTTTGTCAGGAGTGAGCCTGTGCTCCCTCCCGGAGCCCTTGGGCAGGCACTGCCACTGTGCCAAGCTGCCTGTACCAGGTAGTCCCAGCACACAGGAATGCTCGATCAGTAACGGCTGGAGCTGGGGAGAACGTATTCAGCAGGGAGGGCCTTGAGTCAAACAGCAACTCACCTGAGTCACTTTTCAGCCCCTTAAAGTGTTCCTAAGGTGGATGCTAAACCGACCTGTCAAAAATCCTTTAAACAAGCATTTAATACTACAGTTTAGTGTGTTCAAAATCCAACATTGCTGCTCCCTACTAAGACTATTCTCTCCTTTACAGTGTGGGTAATTTGAAGTACATGTGTAAGTTCAAGGTAGATGGGAAAGTTGAAGCTGAACATGCAGACAGTCTTCTTACAAATAATCTGTTCAGGCTTTTTTTTTTCCTCCCAGAGAAGCCAGTAGTGTCTGGCTGATCCTCACACAGAAAGGCTGTGAACAATGAACGAAAGAGCTCAGGAAATACGTACTGTCTATAACAACCTTTTCTGTGTGGTGATTAACACTGGCACCATGAGCACCTGCTCACACCTGATGACAAGGGGCCACCTGAAACACCCCTTCCCTCTGTAAATGGCTTCTGGTCTGGAGTCTACCAGCACCTAGGCTGAGATTGGTGTGCACTTACGGCACCTACAAAAAAGTACAAAAAAGTGAGATGACATACCAGGGTGGATGAAGCAGAGGCCAGGAGTGAAGTCATCTTGCGTAGGCAGGTATTTCTGTTGGCATATATATATATATATATATATATCTATATCTGGATGGTTGCTGCATGTGATGTGCCTAGTGATTTAACACACTAGAGAAACACCACCTTCCACAAAATCACAAAAAAATGACACGAGAAAGAATCTGAAGAAAAGTTTATAGAAGAGCTCCTCTTATCAAGGTTTCAGGACTATTGAAAGGCACATTTCACCCATGTTGAATGACAGTTGAGTTCATGGACACATACAACGTTCACATTTCATGGCAAAAAGACTGCATAACGATGGTAAGTTGTGAAACATATATTCCAGACTTCAGTTAAACACTAAAGTGATTTTAAGTGTGTCATGTACATAGTAAGAGCAGAACAGGCAGATGCATCCAATTACTGTAATTTACAAGGTAGTAATTCAGCCCCAGATATATTTCTCCTTATTGGAGGAAGGCAGTAGAGATTAAAAGCAAAACGAAGGGCAGTGAATTGACAGGGAGCCAGGAAGCTGCTGCCATTTGGAAAATAACAGCTAGTATCTGCTGGAAGTCAGAGGGGCTTTAACTTTGCTAACTCATTTCATTCTCTTTCAACAGTGAATGGCTGGACTGGAGTGGATGCTCTTGGGCCAGGAAGCAACCACGAGCAACACCGTGGCCCTGCCGCACCGACACAGGTGCCCTGCAGAATAGATAAGCATGGATGTTTGCTCAGTAGCACCCAGAATAAAGTCCACTTGTGCTTCCTCTCTCACCATTTAGTGAGCTGCTTTGTGCTAATTAGCTCTTTTCATCCAGCTCATGGTTAAGTTTCACGTTGCAATGATTAATAATTAATCAAATGCATTTGAAAATTAATTTTGCAATTCTATGTCTGATTGGCATGCTAATCTCTTCCATGCAGCAGGGATGTTATGGGAATAACCTCAGATATTCTGAGCTGCTAACCAAGGTGAATACATAAGGGCATTTATTATCTTGTGTGGTAAAAAATAAAGCAGTGAGTGGAACGGAATGCATTCTCCAGGGCCTCTCTGCCTTTTGGGAAGGGTGTGATTGGCATTTTGCCTTGCCTGTATGAGGAATATACCATTGATATTAACATGGCCAATCAAAACAAATGGACAAGAAAAAGGTAAATTTGAGAAACGCCCCCACAGTTGATTTATTTCTGTTTAGCTGATAGCAACTGCAGTAGATCTGATGCATTAATTAGGGTACTAAAAAGAAAAATCACAGGGAGAACAACTTTTGCCCTTTCCAGTTGTCCATGATGCTTTTCTCAAAAATAACACTCATCTGGTAAAAGGGAAGGAGGAGGAATATGCAGCTTCCACTGGACGTGTGGTCCCCATTAGTTCCGAATTAGTAGTCCCTTTTTATAGGCAAACAGCCCTGCAGCAGCCACAGAAGTGAAAAACATGGTAGAGCTAAGCAGGCACAGCAGTCCAGGCACGGACGGCAGGTTCCTCTCCCAGAAGCTGGTGTTGAATGGTCGGGCTGGGACATCCTGGGGGAGAGAGGAGATGGTGCCACCACAGGGTCTCCCGCACTGCGTGAGCAGGGAGGCAGCAAACAAACCCCACTAGGCTGGAGAGATCACAGGTTTTTCCTGAGGACCAGACTGAGGGGCAAGGAGGGTCAGGGCAGTGAAACTCTGTCTTCTGTTGTCCACAGGAAAGCAAAGGTGAAGTTACTTGTGACTGGAAGGAGGTTGTATTTAGCTTAAAACCATGACCTGGGTCTGGGCAGAACTATGCTGATTTCCTGCATTTTGCAGTCCCCCAGGCTCTGAGATCCTTGTGCCTGGCTCCTGACCATGCACCCTCAGACAGGGGCAACAATATTCTTCAGATGAGTCAAAAAACCCCCCAAAAAACACCATCAGCACACATGAGGCAACCAAAACCTCACCAAAGCAGGGACCACAGCCTGACCAGGTGACAATGAGAAAGTCTGTCCTACCTTTGACTCTGGCTCCGGCATCCAAATGTCCTTCTTTAACACCTTCCCCATACTGTGCAATATCTAGAAGAAAAAAATATGTGTACCACATGAGAAAAAATTAAAACCCACACTACTTTCAATTTTGGAAAAGCAGAGCAAGGTGACACTGATATAAGGCATAACTATGACTGAAAAGCTGAAAGTGCTTTGGACCAGAAAATGTAGAGTGATAGATCAGCAAAGAGAGAAGAAGGAGGCAGTTTTGGTAGTTTGTGTAAATACATGACAGCTGGTCATCAAACAGCCGCGTGCCTAACCAGTGTTTTAAGGATAAAAGGACAGTTTAACACAGTCATTTATAAAAAGTAAGACTTCACTCATGTCCTGGTTTTTAGTTGAAACGGAGCTTCTCCAGATGTTTAAGGTTTTTTTCACGTGACAGTTTAAAAAATAGCAATGTGAGGTTACCACCACACACTCGGGACACAGAACCTGTTAGGAGTGATGCTGCTTGGATCACAAACTAGAAAGAGGAGAGATATAATTCTGGGGCTTTCAAAGCATACAATTCCACAGTTATCTCTTGGCTATTCAGGCAGTACAAAACTCATTGAAGATTTTTCTTTAAAATAAACTGATTGTAACAATCACGGAGGTTCTTAGAGGCAAATTAATGTCTCTAGAAAAGACAGCTCACCATCTTTGTAACTACTTCTCACAGGCATGGAGAAAAAAAAAAAAAGAGAGAAATTAGGTGACTTGAGACAGAGCAAGTAATGATGATTATAAGGTGAATATGATGTTCTGTCAAAAGGAAGCAAAGGGCTGATTTTCCTTTAAATAACAACTCCATGGCTCTGCCGTGCAGCAGTTGTAGCTGTAATGTACACCCTTTAATGGGTTTTTTCCTTCTCTCCAGACTGTTGTAAAGGGATTTCATTGTGACTGGGAAGCCAGCCCAATGCGTGTCATTCTGAAGAGATTCAGACATTATTAGAGCCGCCCATTATGAATTCATAAAGCCGAGCTAACGGTACTCTCTCGTAAAAGGAGAAGCAGAAGGGATAGGTCAGAAATGAGAACAATGCTAAGATTTCAAGATTGCTACATAGGAAATAGCTGTGAACATTTGTAATGACTTAAATTACTTTTAATACATACAGTGATTAACTTGTTAGAAATTGTGGTAGTATACCTAAGGGCAGCATCAGGTTGGAGTGTTTTTTCCTCTAGACAATAGGTATATGGCATGACCTCTGCTTTACATCTCCAGTGCAGCAACACACTGTGTAATGTTCTGATTTGGGTGAGATTCTTGGCTTCACTTTATTCAACAACAAAAAACTAAGCAAAGTTGGTTTTGTTTTTGTTTTTTTTTTAAAAAGGCCTTGGTTCATATCCTTTTCTGGGATTCTTCCCCATCAATTCCAGGAATGTCTGCACAATTACATGGTGTGATGCACGAAATCAGACACTCCAAGCTGTACTTAATCCTTTTTAACCTTTTCATAGAGATGCTGAAAGCAAACCAATGATCTGTACCTCTCTGGCTGCTCTCTCTCCTGCCTCTACAGCCCCCTCCATGTATCCACTCCATTGGGTAGCTGTCTCCGTGCCAGCAAAGTAGATTCTGTCAAAGGGCTGGCGAATGATCCTTCAAAACAAATTGAGAATGTCAGATGACAAGTAACAGGAAGGTGATAATTCTTCTAAAAGCAATTTATGGGCTTTGATGGAGCACTCAACTTAATTTCTCCAGAATTCCTGCAGATCTGGGCTGGGGAACACAGTACAATAAGCTGTCCCTGCACAACCACTACTTGCTTCTGTATACAAAACTCAAAATCTGACAGAGAAAATATAAGGCATAAATCAGTGTGCCCAGCTTCTTTGCAAAATAATACAAGCCTTATTTTAGTGCTGGGATAAAGGATAATCCTAACAGCCTCCAGAAATGCAGTGCAGCTGATAGATTTATGTCTTCTGCATGGCAGCTTTTTTGTTATTCTATTGTTACAATGGGATGTGAATCATGTTTTTGCAGTGACAGGTCACTAATATCAGCTTCTGTTTGGAGGCTGGACTCGACTGGCTGTAAGTCCTGCCAAAAGGGGATGGCAGCTGAAGGCCTCAGCATTCAGGGAGTTACATTCATCCTGTAGGGTCATATAAGCCAGCACCTCAGCCATGCAAAGCTTCACAAGCATCTCAGTCAACCCAGCCATAGGTAATGAGCTCCTTTTCCCACAGAGAGATGTGCTTGCTCCAAGGGCTCCCATCTAACCCCCCTATTACGTTCTTCTTGCTGCCTGACATCAGCTTCCCCGAGTTAGAGGCCTCACCCATCACTATCCAAGTGTTCAGATGAATTACAACAGAGGAGTCTGTGCATGAGATGACTTCTTCCCACATGCACCTTGTGCTTTGTGTCTTCCCCTTGTCATGTGACCAATGGGCTTCACCAGAACCTGATGTTCCACCTACACCGTCAGTGAAGACTCTTCATCTGTCCAAGATGTGTGCCCTCAAGGTCTTAGAAAGCGTTAAAGGGATCTGTTGCAAATACTGCATAACAGCAAATGCTGTAAGTAACCTAGGGGGGGAACGTTCCCTGGCTCTAGCAGGTCTCTTTGTGACTCTGCTTTGTCTCCTTGAAAGTCACAAGAGAAAAACTGTTTTTACTGAAGTCAATAGCAAGGTCCTTGTTAGCTGGGAAGTAGGGGAGCAGAAAGAGGGTTGGAGTTCCCCCAGTATGCTACATATGCCATAAGTTTATTGCATAAGGTATATCATTGTACATGAGCTAAGAAACGTGAATTAGAAAGCAATGCATTCTCTAGTTTACCTTCCATAAGAATACATTATGCCTGGTGGGAAGTAGGCTGTGTAACAACCCCCTGAATATTGTTCCGTGCTCCAGTTCTTTTCTTCATAATGCACAGGCTGCAAGTATTAGCAAACATCAGACAGTGAAATACTGGCAGAGAAATTGAAAATAAAAACCAAATTTCCTTTGAAGAGGGTAAAAACAGGCTAAGGATACCTCTCAAAGTAGTGCCGTGTCATCTACCTAATGCTATCCATCTGCACAAAACAAATCTTTGCACTTTTCCAGAAGCACCAGCCTCCCATGGGGAAATGACAGAACAAATTAAACCATGCACTGCCTTCTCTTTTCTTGTAAAGAATGAGACTGGCAGCTCTTTTCTTCCTGTACTAGATGTTGCTCCCCTCCTCTTGGGAGTACACATTGTGTGGCACAACATGCAATTTTAGGTACATGTTTTAGGTACCAAGAATTTTGGCTTCATCCTCCAGAACAAAGGAACAACATTACTGTACAACAGAGGTGAAAACAAGCATTAATTTCTTACATGTAAAGCCTCTTCCATCCCCATTGCCTTGGCATATGCCTCACAGATCTTCTTCTTCCTATATGAACACAAAATGAGTCAGGAAAAAAAAAAAAGTGGGAAAAAACCTCTCGGCTATTGCTCTTCTTATAAAAAAAATAACGTTTTACAATACATTGGAAAGTTGTCTTTGGCTTTGTTTTTAAGTCTGATTTCAAGTTCTTATCTTAACATAAATATTTCAAATGCTGATGCCTGAATGCAACATCCAAAATGGACCCAGGGAATGGGAAATGAAAGTTGATTTTGGCAATGAACTCTAAAAAAATAAATCTTTGTACAGTTATTTTAAGACACAGAGCCAATTCATTCTCATGTTCAGTGGTGTAAGACCAGAAGAGAAGCAATATAAATCAATGAAATCCCTACAGATTTACTATAGCTGTGAAGAAAATACGAGCTGGAGAATACTACTCACATTGCTAAGCAGAATTCCTCTTTCACCTGCATGTGTACCAAAAAACACATTTAAAAAGTACTGTTTGTTCATTTCACAGACTAATGGAGAAACTATTTTGTTGTAAACACGGAGGTTTAAAAATTGTATCACCCAGTCTGAATGTGAAAAACCGCTCAAAACTACAGGTCAGCGCTCCCTATATCCCTGGAGTGAAGCAGCATTAAGTGGGGATGCAGCCTGGGAATGTCTTCAAAAAAATCTCAGTTGAGAGAGACACAGAGTAGATAAGGGATAACATGAAAGAGTGGTCAAGACTTGGAAACTCAAAAATATCCATAACTGGATGGATATTAGTGTTAGTGTCTTGGCCTGTTTACGCCAAAAGCTCAATTTTTGCCCCAGTTTCCAGTATTAGTAGTTGCACTGTGCATGTGTACACGTGCATATGCACACACATATCCACACACATATTCCTGTGGGGAAGCATCGCAGAGAACTGAGTTATTTCTGAAATATTTACAGTTTCTGAACTCTTACCTCTCTTCCTTACTGAGATGGGTCAGTTTAACAGCCTTTCTGGTAAGGATGAAACTGAAAAGAAAAATATGGCCTATAAATATCATGCAGTGTCAGCACCCCAGCTGATTTGCAAGCTCTTGACTGAAATGACTCTAAAAAAAGATGGGCAAAGTACTTTCCCGGTATGTAATGGGCTTGACATTTTTTCATCATACTTCATCACTTAATAATTACAGGTCACACGGGTGAAAAGGCCTGTGCAGGGCACCCTGTGGAGTTAATTGAAAGGGAGAGCATGCATTTCCAGGGGGCAGGTGAAGAGGACTGCCTGGCAGCTACCAGATGAGAAAGTTGTGGATTGCAAGTATGTTTTCAAAGCAGCCAGCACTGGCCTCATTTCGCTCCGTGGGAATGAACTGTCCATCTCCACCAAGTCAAGAGAGTACAGTTATACCCAAAGTGGGCAGAGAGAAAACAGTGTTCAGCAAACCAGATTGCACGGCCTGCCCTCTTATACCTAGCTCTTATCCAAAAGGACTGAGACCCTGAGTTTTCTTGAGCTTTTGAAGTCTCACAGGCAGCTGGCCATCATGTCATTTGGTGTTAGTAAGTGATGGGAGCTTGCTGCTCTGACAAGCGCTACATCGTGTCATGGACCAATCCTTTAAGAGCTGGGATTAATATTTATTCAGCCTGAAGGAAACAGATTTGGCGATTAGTTCATCTGACCTTAACAGAGATACCGAGGGGATGAAGTATGTTCCTGCGCTCTTTTAGAAAGTTGCATAAATCCAAAGGTAGAAAGCAGGAAACTGTTTGCCATATGGGGTTTGGAGGAAGCTTATTGCTCTCGGGTCATGAAAGTTTTTAAGCCTTGAACCTGCCCATAAACACGTATAGTTCAGTAGAAGGGCAAGCTTTCCTTGCCAGATACTTAAGGAGTAGTTGCCTGACATTTATATTGGCCTTTTTTTGGCAGTCTCACCTCAGATTACAGTGGAAACATTTGTAAAGATTGTTTGTTCATATTGACTTAATCTATTTTAAAAACAAGTCAAGGCTGTTATGTATTTTCCCATCTGCTTGTCCAAACTACAAGTTTTTTACTTTGGAGTTTTTCCAGAATCCCAATTTCTTCACTGCACAGCTGCTGCCCCAGTCAACCACCAGCTGATGCTCATTGTCTTTCCTCAGCTCAATGGGGAGAGCAGGTAAATGAGGGTTACTTAGACAACTGCATTTTCATTTTGGGCCAGGTGCTAAATACAAGGCCCAACATAAGCCAAAATACAGGCTCATGAAGCTAGGTAAGAAAGGGATTTATTTCTAAATCTACTCCACAGCAAAAAAAACCCCAAACAAACAAAAAAACCATTAGCTGAACACTTAAAATGAATTACAGCTGAATTCACCAATTCCTTCCCAACCATCTCCTTTGTATTAGGCTATTTGCAGCAGAAGCTTCACCTAAAAGCTTATACGGACTATAGAGGCACAAGAGGCTTGTCAGAAGTGCTCTCCTCCATCTGTGAAGGCTGTGGGAGTGGGCACCACAGATGTAACCTGGCCATTGCCCCTCTTCCTCCTCCTCCCGCTCCTTCATACAAAAAGAAATACACATCTGTAAGTATGGGCTAGAAGCTCCTAACCCCATAATGGCAGGGAAAGATCCATCAGGTTTCGTGTCATCTATGGTTATTCCAATTGGAGACTCTTCATCCTCAATGACGAGGGAACCACAATAACCTAAGGGGGGGGAAAGAAAACAAAATGATTCTCGGAGAAACTTTTTGAAGATCATTGTTTCTGATAGTAATGAGTAAGGAAAATTATCCATAAAAGGAATTGTACAGTAATTTTTTCATCACCAATAATACCTACATATCTGAAACATTTTTGTAACAGTCTCTCTACTCTCTTCCCTCTGACTCCGGGAAGTTTTGCACACAGACTTATAAAAGTCATATTTAAATTCCATCATTACTTAGCAAGGAATTTCTCTGGATTGTTGCAAGTCCCTTTGGCTTTCTATATCGGGGGAAATAAACATTAAAAATAAACAGATGGTTCATTCCATGAGTAACTTTGGCCAAAACAACAACAGCAGCAGCAACAAAACCCAGTGTAATTACATCCGCTCACTGCGGGCTCAAATTCACATCCTGTATTGATTTTGCTGACGATAAGACTGTCAGGGATGGCGTCCCATAACAGTATTGCAGCAGAAACACAGGCCATCTAATTTAGTATCACATCAGTGCATGTTTCAGATGCAAAAAATCCTAGACAGAAAAAAAATTTATAAACCTTCCTACATTTCTTTCTAATCCCAGTGGCCAGTTTATGCCCTGAAACATGCAGAATTATATTCTTTTGACTAAGAAATATTTTTGCCCACTGCAACTCTCAGCATCATTACATAGGAAGTGGAAACTAATCTGCTCACACAAATAGTTCTGGAAATTGTATCAGCTAAAGCTGACAAACACATGATCTTGCAGCACATGGATACTGAGCTAAACAAAAAGCTAACCTACTTTTTCCGGTCCTCAGAGATATCAAGTCCGTAGAACAGAGGATTAAACAGGGAAAGGTCTTGCTTACACCTTAAGCTCTCCTTGTCATCTGCTGTAAATTCTCTTTGGCTGCCCTAACTCTGTCCCTGGCAGGGGGAAGGAGGGTCACTGCTTCTGTGCACTGCAGGTTTCAGCAATGCTTCCCAGGGAAACCTTGCTTATTCTCTCAGTCATCCCTCCTCAGTTAGCAACAATGAGACTTGGGATCCTATTTGGGTCTGGACTCATCTTTGGGGCAAGACGTGCACTCAGGCTGGGAGGAAGAGCTCTTCTTTCTAAGGAGCTTTACCTTTCACTTTTCTGTGTGTTTGGTTTGAGGGTTTTGCACATCTAATCCCCTCTTGGATTTATTACTTGACAGACAGCAGAGCTTCAAAATTCACGTAGCATGGGGCTCCCAAGTCCTCCACTTTCCCCACATACCCTTCCTCTCCCAGAAGGCTTCCTTGTAGTACACCATGCATTTTATGACACACCCCATAGGCATACGCTGAATTAACTGGGTTCTCTTTGTTGGCAGTTCTGGTTTGTAATGAATCTTCGTCGTCATGATTGGAGGGATAGCACTGATCACATACTTGCCCTGAAATGCAAAACACAGTCAGTACAGACAAAGTGCTGCCTCTCACGAGCTCATCCTGCAGGACACGTTTGAAAGGCACTCTCATTAGTTGTTAAACAGCTTTCCCACACAGATATTTCCAGGTGATCAAAATAATTCTGCCATTTCATAAAAGGAGCTGGGAAAAACATGTTTTGTGGTTAGATGATTTTTGACAGCTTTCTGGACACTACAGGACCAGAGTTGAAACTTGGCTGGAGACAGGGGGGAAAACGGGACCTACCTATGGTGGCATAGGTTAAAAAAAAAAAAAAAAAAAAAAACAAAAAAAAAAAAAAAAAAAAAAAAACACCCAATTTCCCCAAATTTAAAGGGTTAAAAAAAAAAAAACAACCCACACTTTTGTGTATGTTCACAGCATACTATTTCAGGACAAGCAACAATGATGATGATTTCAGCTTTCGTGAACATGCTCCATCCTTCTTGCAGGTCCTGTGTCTGACTGGAGCGATGAAGGACACTTTGCTTTGGGGCTCAGGGCGACAGTATATCACAACAGATGCTGCTGCTCTCGGGTGCTCTCATGCTGGTGGGGCCGCTTAGTGCGGGAAGCTCATCTCCTCCAACTTGGCTGCTGCTCAGCATGGAGGCAGAGAGAAGCCAGTGGTTTAACTCCGGGGTTTAAAAATTCCTGGGGAAGGGAGAGAGTCCCTCCTCCAGGTCATCCTTAGACTGGGTTCTCTGCCAAATAGCCCCTTCCCTTTCTGCTAACTTTCTCTAAATATCCTCCAAACACTGACACCAGTGAGATGGGGTCCTGCAAACCCTCATGGTTTTGCACAAACCCCCGTGGCAGGCTGCGCTTTGTGTGCAGAAGGGAGCTGCTGTCCCGTGGGTGCCACTGTGGGTAATCACGTACTGACAGAGCATTTCACAGAGCCACTGCACAGAGGCAAAATATTTCTAAAGGCATTTGAAATGTCTTTTTTTGGTTGTGCAAACAGCAAACTTAGATACAAACGATGTTATTTGTCCTTTCTTTGAAATGGTCTCAATGCAGAACTACAATGTAAAAATATATAATAATGGAAAAAGTTAAGGCAGAAAAGGCAGAATAATGACAAAACGTAACTAGCAGAACACCAAGAAGAGACCTGGTCATAAATAAATCCATAAAGCAGGCTTCACTGAGTGTCAGAGTAGTCTGAGAAATAAACACACACAAATAGGTACTTCCTGATTACATCTGGCCAAGAGCTACAGCAGATGTATTCTCCCACTAAATGCACACTCTACTTTTATTCTGATCAAATTACCTCATATATCTCATGGTTTAGCGTCTCCACAATGACATTATCACCTGTCTGATCAATACGGACCACAGGTTGCTCCAGTTTAACTTTGCCTTTCAGGCGTTCCATTATTTTCTCCGATATCTGACCAGAACCCCCTTTAAACTTCCTCTCCTAAAAAACAAACAGAAAAAGAAACACAAACAAAAACTCACCAGCATTAACCAGAATAACATTGAATATGACTTCTGCTCATAATCAAATCAGGCCAAATCTGAAAGTCCTAAGGGTGGATAAAGAGGTCCAAACTTCCAGAAAAGTGAAGGCATTAACCTGAGCCTCAATGGGGATTGCTGCCTAAACCACTATTGCAATGGCTTCCTCAATTAGCTGGCTTAAGGACCCTTGAAGCCTAGAGAACAAACAAATACAATGCAGGTATTCTAGCTAGTATAAACATATCGCTTCATTAAAAAGAGGTTTTAAGTATTTTACCCATCACTGTACTCACACGTGACAAAAACACCAACTTGCATCTCTACAGCAAAAGCCTGCACCAGCCCAGAAGCAAGACAAACCCTTAATTGGGTCTGGCCTCGAACACAGCAGGCAATGAGCTTTATCTGTCCCTGGGAAGACACAAAGACATTGCTGTCTGGAAAAAAGCACAATCTGTGACACTTATTTCCTTGCAGTGTCTGTGCAGAGGCTCACGGGAAGCACTAACCCTCTTTAATCTATCAGCCACTAGTGTTATATCAAGCAACTCACTTCTACACGTAAGATGCTGCTACTGGCAGGGAGGAAAGGATCCACAAAGTCTTCTGCTGAAAGACTGAAATGGCTGCCTGAAGTTTTATAAGACTCGTCACAACCACTAAGTAAGAAACCCTTAGCATTTTTGCTCAACTGATTTTGATTGGGGTGACAGGAGAGGGAAGGAGGGTAGAAACCAAGACAGCTTGCCCCATCCAGGCACAAAGAAAGGAAGTGCTCTTCCCAGGCTAGCTTTCCCCTCTCCACAGGTCTTGCTTAGCTGAGTATCTTGGGATTAATTTTATTTTTAATTCTTGCTGCAATGCCTAGCAGCTGCTGATGTGGGACAGAAAATGTGTCTGAGGGGCTCCTAAGAAGGAAGGCTCTTGGGTTTTGCTCCTACCTCAGGACAGCATTAGCTCTATTTACATCCTTCCTGATGCATGGTTGTCCTTACTCCAATGGATAGATGTTGATGGAGACTTCACATTTCTCCAGGCAACTGCTCTTAATGTCTCCCTATCCCAGCACACTTGGAAGGGTGTGGTACTGTCTCCACCTCTGCTGTTGGTAACTTAAGTCTGAAATGCCACTTGTGTTTTCTGAGGCTGTGGTAACTGAGGTAGGAAGCTAGGAAAGGGTGCCGACATCCACATTATTTTGACAGCCCCCTCTCCTGTTTTCTGAAATATCATCCAGAACAATCACATGAAGACCATGATGTTCTGCAGGCAACGAGGCACCTGCCATGACCAAGGTGAGAAACAGTCTGAAGTAGCTCACAAAACATGCTGCTGTGTGAGCTATCCCAAGAAGGAAGGGCCTTTTGCTATTTACTTCCAACCCTTTGTTACTAGAGGCCTCAATGCAAAAAAAAAAAAAAAAAAATTATTTTGCTCTGAAGTATACTTGCTTTGAACTCTTGAAATGTGCTAAGTAACCCATAGAAAATAAACTGGCAAAAAAGCAACAAAACAGTAACAAAAGACTGTGCTGAAGTGAATGAAAAAAAAAACAGGAAAAAACAATTGATTACATTATCCCAATTTATCCCACAGTCTAGCTAATAAAATTCTTCATTGTACCGAGTTAGCTGAGAGGGCTGTTCCGCCTCATAAGAATATAACTGTCTCTGGTGCCACATGAACTTGGTGTTTTGTCCTCTTTTCATTAATTGCAGGGCTTTAATGGCTACAACACTCAGCTTGCTCTTTATAGTTTCTAGAGAGGAGGAAGAATATGAGACATTTTGTACCTGGCCTCCATTGGTGATTGAGAAAATCCTGGCTGTGCCCCCACACTGCCTCACATACCACAGGAACCAGAGAGCAGAGACTTCATGAGGCTCAGATGTGACATTGACATTCACAAAGAAAGTAGCAAATTCTTTAGCAGCTCTGCATGAGACACAAGAGCAGAAACAGGCAGTGAGTAAATGTGACTTCCTGACTGCTTTCAGGATTTTCTTTGTTATTCTCAGTAAGGGTTGCTTTCACAAAGTCAGAAAAGCCAAGATGATTTATATCCATCTAATTTTTCAGGCTGTAGCAGGACTGTTTCAATGGGTTCATATCAGCACCTCCCTCCCTCACAAAGCATTTACCCATTCAATTTGAAATCCCACTAATTTCACCTCACTTATTTCTTTAAATAGTTTCCCAGCTCCTACTCCTTTCATCAGAACAAATGTTTTTCTCAAGAGAAGAATGCATTTGGTAGCTAGCTAGTGAAAATCTTCTGCACTTTTCCTCCATGGGAAGCTCATCAGGTACCTCATTTCACAAGGTCTGATGGATCCCGAGGGACTCAACCATCCAGCTGGCCAAGACATGCCCCATCTCCCATGTAACACTGCTACACAGAGGTTTTGTGAAACCAAGAACCAGACATGGTAGATAACCCAGAAAACCAAATTGTCAATCATTGCCATAAATATAAGGAGAGGGTCAACTGTCTACTATAGGAAGTTCTCTGAATGTAAACAGAGTTACAGAAGCAGGAAATGAGGACCTGACTATTCACATTTCCTCCATTTGCTACAGACTGCTAAGAGAATTGAGATCATTTTGCAAAGAAGTTGAAAGGCCTTTGACTTGGATGAAGTTTCATAAAACAACATGAATTTATAATCATCTGCTAAAGGAAGGAACTATGCAAGTTATCTGGGCTAAAATATGTAACTTATAAACTTTTATAACCTCATTTCCCTGGGTGTGAAGTCCAGACATCTCTGTTTCGTTAGCCAGGATATAAAAACATCCTGCATGCAAGAACCCCCTGCAACAACCCTGAAAGCACCAAGACACTAAACAGTTGTAGCAGCTTCAGGCCTGAGAAATGTGAAAAATCTCTCTAGGATCAGTAGGTGCTGATCTGTGACACGTGACAAACAAATCTTCTTTTATAATCTTGACCCAAGTCATACAGAAAATGCTGCAGAAGAGCTTTCCTGTTCAGGGCACTATGGTTTTTAACTACATGTAGAAAAATGTGGCTTGGCTTGAAGATATAAAATGGCTTTTTACTGAGTTTTTGAACGTGTTTCAGCTGAGCACATCTATTAAAACTGGAGCGCTACAAAACCATTAGCAGTAGAAGCAGTCTTGCAGAGAAGCGTGTTACAGGAGAGATCACTATAAACCCAGTTCTGCTTATACTCCACTGGCTTCCTGACTAAGGGGAACTGTAAAAACTAGAAGAGGAAGAGCCAGTGCACTTGCAACAGAAAGAGTAGTTCAAAGTGACTGAGTTTGCAGGCAAATGGCTCATAAAACTAATTATAAAGAAAACTGCAATGCCACAGAGAGCAATCTAAAGTCCAAATAGCTGTACCTTGTTTCACATGGAGCTGGAGTAAGATTTAAGCCAGTCAAATAATTTCAAATGGAAAGTTTTGGTCAGGAAGCTGCAGGCACGGTGCTAAACCACAGTCAGAGTGAAAGGGCAAACAGAGCACAGCCACACAAATAAAATACACTGAATGCAAGGGAGGAGAGCATTACAGAATAGCACAGGGGCTGGCACAGCAAGCGGCGATACAAGTGCTCATATAAGCACACTTCTCTTTGCCTTATAAAGAGAATTAATTGAAAAAGGAAAGGAAGAAAAGAGTATTTCCAGTTGTCAACACTCCATATGAAACACTGTGGCTTTTTGATTTGTACAGTGTGGTCCCTCACAGACATACAAAACACACTGGCCATTTTCCAGACAGTGTATCACCTTGAGTCCTCTTCCTACCAGTTAGCACTGATGCTCTGTTGGACCTGCTACACACACACGAGGAAGATCTGCTGGATACTGCAAAGGTGAAGGGCAGCCTTGGCTGCAGTGGCCATAAGACTGTGGAGTTTAAGATCTTGAGAGGACTAAAACAGAGAGCAGAACTGCAACCCTGGCTTTTGGAAGAGCAGATTTTGTCCTAAGGACTTGCTTGGCAGCATCTCATGGGAAACTACTGTGCAGGGCAAAGAGGCCCAGGATAGTTGGCTGGCATTCAAGGACAGCTTCCCAGGAGCAGAGGGAGGGTGCACTGCAAGGGGCAGAGCTGAGCAAGCGCAGCCACGGGCTTGCTGGGAGAAACACAGAGCTCCTGACCGGGCACAGGCACAAACCAGCCAGGGAGGTGAAAGGCAACAAGAGAGGTTGCCTTGGCTGCCTCATTTTCCTCCAAGGGTTTTGGAGGCCCAGCAGGCACTACTGCTGAAACTTCTCTGGAGTTTCCACGGCCAACAGCTGCTCAGTCCCTCCTCCTGGGGTCTCACACTGCCCCATCCATTGAGCGACCACTGGAGAGCAGCTGCCCTCTGGCACGGCGTGCTGCTCTCCGATGTGCCAGTGGCCCCTGCCTGCTCCATGGTACATGTGATGCAGCTCACACAGTAAAAGCTGACACATACAATAATTGCACAGGAGAGGACATAACTGAGTATGAGGACAGCACTCCTCAGCTCCTAGCCTACAATGGGGCTGGGGAAGCCACCTCATCTCCTTCTGCCTCCATTTATGTACCTGCAAGTGACCTTTGTTCATACCTACAAAGCAGAGTTTTGATTATATGTTGCTTTTCCTAAAGCCAAAGGCACACGTTCTCCAACTGAGTGAAGTGAAAGCATGGTGAGAAGAGCTCACGCTGTCACCCTCTTGTGCATGCCTGCTGAAGCAACCCCCAGGTTTCCCCAGCACCTTTAATCCCATCTGACAGCCAACCCAAGCTCTGTGTACCACTTTACCCTCCACAGGCCCTCAGCCACTGCCTGACAACAACCCACCACGAAGACCAGCCTCATCTCAAACACCTCCTGCTCTCTCACCACCTGTACCCCAGCTGTAGGCATCTGCACCCTAGAACTTGCCAGGGGGGCACTATCATTCTGCACCTGGATTTCAAAGTGAATAAAAAGTTACGTACTTGGTCCAGCAAATCTTATTTATCAACTCTTTCATGGTCATTTTGTCCCATTCTTCAGCATGCGGAGCGTCCCATGGTGCTTCAAGAGGAATCTGGAGACAGAAGCAAAATATTCATTAAATTATTCAGTACTATATCGTTGCCTGATCATAGCTAGTTAGTAGCACAGAACCGATTGATTTGTTTTCCAGGAGTTGTTTTTGTCCCCTGCACATGGTTGTAGATTTGGAATAAATTCACTAAATGGAATAGTTTCCATTCATACGTTTAGGCATGAACTGTACCATGACCCCACATCTGGCTTTGTCTGACCAATGAACTATACACATACGTTGGGACTCATCTGGCCTTTAGTTGTTCACAAGTGAAGGTGTCTATTCTAATGTAGCTGTCTTGGTGTCCTCTAACAGCTGAAGGAAAATTTTTTTCTCTAATCAGAGTCAGTCAGTTACAAGGCAGGTATCTGAAGGCCCCTATGTCTCTCTGTTAACTACGGAGGGAGCAAAAATGTCTAGATATTATTAAATTAGTTCTAGACAGTTAAATTCTCAGTAAGAATCCACTGCATGTAAGCACCATGACATGGAAGGACACTGTATTTGAGTCTTTAAAAAATACATATTATTTGACCAAAAAAATGTGCAGTATCCTGCACAAATCTGATGCTGCAAAACCACATAAACCCGATGACCTTTGCAGGAATACAGTTAGTTATGCTTGAAGGTTACTGTAAGGTAGGGCCTCTGGTTTACAGCCAGATTATAAGGCAACTGATAAATATATGAAAGACAGCATGATGCTCCAGTGGCTACTTCTTGCATGCAGGAAGATCTGCAGTTGTACTGCTTGAATTTTGAAGGCATTTACTGTTTAAGAATTTTAGAAATAAAATTACTGTGAAGCCAAACTGGAGCCCAGCTCAGGCAGCTGCAAAAAATAACCATCCTTACTCAAAAAGGCTGTCACAGGGGAAGGGGAAAAATCTTTTTTATCTCCCAGCTCATGGAATGGTTTTCCCTGGCGTGAGAAAGTACATACACTGATGTTCAATCTCTCTTTTTTTTTTTTTTTCCCATGTGTCCTAGATACCCCCAGATCTTTTTGGATCCTCTCATAGAATGGTTTGGGTTGGAAGGGACATTTAAAGGTCATCTAGTCCAACTCCTTCTCAGTGAGGAAGCCCTGTTATTCCTGATAGTTCCCAGGTAACATAGATATCTTTCCTGATGGATGTTTTGGTTTTTTAATATATATTAAAGCAGCAATAAAAAGCCTGACAAAAAAAAAACGAGCCAAACCAGATTTACTCATGGTGAGATGAACATTGTACGAAACAGATGCAATTTACACAGCCTACCTCTTTTCCCATCTTGTCCAAGGTCCTCCAGAAGTTATTGTAATCCAGATAAACCAAGGGATTCCATGTTGGAGGGGAAATACCCATGAAATAGCGTGACTTTCCCTAAAATAAGAACATAAGAACACAAGCAACTGAAACACAACAGAGCATATCTTCATTACTCAAGAACACAAAATGCTCGGAGTCATGACGTGGTTGACTTTTTGCCCCAAAAGACCTACCTTTTTCTTTTTTTTTTTTCCCCTCTGCACATGCATGTAAGCAATGGAATGCATGAAACTAAAACAGATGACATTAAAAAGGACAATAACATTTTTTTTATTCAGAAGAGATGAGGAGGGGTACATTTGTTCTGATCAGGTTGTCAAATTCTGGTCTAAGGAGGCCAAGGAGGTAATAATATTCCTTGTTCCTAAACATTCTTCATCATTACATATAAATGAATCTAATGTTTGCCTGCCTGCTGAAATATGCATCCTAAGATTTGCATGGGTCTAAAATTGCATGCATTTTAAACTTTTCAAGTATCTAAGCACCTTTATGGTACACCTCACCTATAAAAAGCAAACATCTCTTCATTACGCCAAGTGCCTTGGGAGAAACCTAGCCTCAAAAAAAAACCAAAAAAAACCAAACCCAAAAAACCGTTTTTGATTGCAGGAAGAAAAATTTCATGCACTTGCAAAAATGGTATCAGTACTTACAATGTGTATGACACACAGCTGCAACAGGAATACGGCCTGTTTCAGATAATCCTGTGATATCATGATAAGCAAAACAATCTAATGGCAGCTGGTTCCTTGTGATAACTTTAATCTCAAAGAGGATGAGCAGGCAACATTTTCTCTTATTAAATTGCTCTGAATCTTCTCCCATACAAATCAACAGCAAATTTCTCATCAGACTTCTTAAATGTTTGTTCTTCCAGGTGTGTTAAGAGTTTGCAGGAGGTCACGTAGCAGAACGCAGCGAACATGCTGGACCATGATAAGTAGGAGCTGTGGTGCTGAGCTGTGTGCAATAAACTTTTCAGTGCAATGTATACCATGCCAGCCCACTGCACAGACCAAGAGAGAGGCTGCAGTGCTGCAAATGCATGAGATGGTGACCCAGGGACAGGGGGACACAAAGTAGGAGCCAAATACCCCTTCCCCACACTCAGCGACAGAGAATTTATTGCTCTTCCCCACTGATAATTGTGTGTGCGTGTGTAAATACATACGGATTCCTGATATTCTTCAGAACATTTTTCTGCAAAGACCATAACAAAAATTGAAATTTGGAGACCATAGTGAGCTTTCATAGAATCATAGAATGATTTGGGTTAGAAGGGTCCTTTAAAGGTCATCTAGTCCAACCCCTCTGCAGTGAGCAAGGACATCAGGTTGCTCAGAGCCTCATCCAACCTGACTGAATGTTTCCAGGGATGGGGCTTCTACCACACCTCTGGGCAAAAAAGCAGTAAAAAAGCCTAACTGCCACATTTTGGTCAACTTTTGTCATCTTCTCGGCATCCTCTGCATGACACTGCCTCTTCCAAAAAATGCATGCTAGTGATATACTGCATGCTACAGCTTCTACCATCATAAGTCGCTGCTGTATCAAACAAGGAAATCCTGATACAAGGCAGTAATAAACTGCTAATAATTATCTTCTTATTGCACAACATTTTGTGATCAAAGTGATCATAAAATACTGCTCCTTCAAAGTTCATTTATTGCTAGACTTTTTACTCTGGTCAGGAATGCAGGTGCCAACAACACGTCTTCCTTGACATGCTTTGACACCAATAATCCTGCCCTTAAGCAGAGATGAGGTGCAGTGCTGTCAGCCTGCCCAGCAACAAGTGAAGATAAGTTATTACTGAAGTTGTCATGTTGATATTGCATGGGGACAAAGGGAAAAGATAAGCCCACTGTTCAGGAGTGGTATGGAAAACTTCCCAGTTTTTCACTGTTCAGTGGGAACTCTTTTCATAACATTTCTTGATAAGTAACTGTGCTTCTACTGAGTGCTGCAACTTGCAAATATCTATCCTTGGCTTACTTAACTCAAAAAATAAACACTTATTTAAAAAGAAAGTCAAAAAAGTAACTTATTCTAAGGTTCCTCTCCTCCTCTTGTTTTCAGCCTAACCTATTCCTTATATTGCTGGAAATAACAGCCTCATAAAAGTCTCCTTCAGTAACTCTATGATGAGGTTTCTGCCAAAACAGCTTTTCCACCTCCCACTATTAACTCTACTGTGTTCAGCAACTACAGGTTCAGGAAGTCTCAGACTATCCTGATTGCTGCAGATGGAGCAACTGGTGAGAGAACCTGCCTGCTGCCTGGCTACCTAATATGTTCCTCCATATTTCCCACCTTTATACTAGCTTTAGACCACCATGACCACAAATTGCTGAAGACTGATCAAGAAATCTTATGACCTCAGCTACTGGTATGACATGTATAACACTGGATATTCACTTATCTGCTATTTGAAAAAAGAACTACCCTTTCACTACTGATCTGAAAATACTGTTATCTCCTCATCTTTGGTCAATGGCTTAGCCCAGGAAGATCAATGGGAAAACACATTTTATCCCCTGAGAACTATGAAATGCCAACTGATAATTAACACAGCCTAAAGTTGCATTACTTGCTGCCCTCTCTTGCATTCAAAACCCTGTAACTTCAGTAAGAATAGAGAGAGAACAAGGGTAGGAAAAGCTGGAAAAATACAACAGTGCTAAGAGACCTGGAAGAGGCCGAGACTGAATTCAGGAGGCTGAAATAGTTCACAACCACACTAACTCCTTGTATAGGGGGCCTGAACCTGTAAGAGGTGGGAGCTGATCAGAGAAAAGCCCATTTCTGATGAATTCCAGGAAAGAAATGCCCATTGCCCACCAGAGAGAGAGCACCAAACAGCTTTACCCACATCAGTTTTTCAACCCCCTCTCTTGCACAAGTATCTCCACAGCAGGGAATAAATCTAGCTCAAATGACCCGGGGCTGTTAAGCTATTCATTTGGTTTTGATATTGTTTCCCTACTAGGCAGAGGAGCTCTGGCTGCACGTTTCACAGAGGAGCTCACTGCAAGCAGGCAAGGTCTTGCAATATTCCATTTTTAAACAAGTTTAGAGTGTTCTGGGTGTATTATTTTGAGAACTACTGTTTTCTTAACTGAAAGGCAAATAACCTACTGGCTTTGTTCCCACGTTAACACAAGGCTGCCTGACTGACCCACAGAGTTTATCTAACTTTTTTTTCATTTCCTTGTGTGTTGAGCCCTTTCCTGCAGACCTCAGATTTGAGTCCTGCTGCCTGCCTGGATTAGTTACCCCACACCGAGCCAAAGGAAACAATATCCCCAAGCACTGTAGTTCAGTGGTTACAAAGAAGGCAGCAGAGAGAGATGTGCTCTGCAAGGTCTGTCTTCTCCCTGCCCAGGGCTACGCTGTGGTTTGTAGCCGTAGCTACAAGAATTAAGCGGAAGCCACCCTACTGTGGCACCATTCCAAGTTTCAAAGAGGAACAGACAATTTTGCCAGTCTTGAAAAAGGCAAGTCTGGCTCCTGCCTTCTACGCTGAGGATGAGCTGCACATCAGGAAGCACAGGAGGATCAGGAAGCACAGGAGGAGCATCCCTTGCGCCCCAGGGCAGGGATTGCTATTGCCCTTGGGCCATACACCAGGCACACAGCTGGAGCAGTGGCTCCCTACAGTGTGAGCCCTCAGGTGGGCATCCTTCCCTGCTCAGCATCTCCAGCAGGTCTGGCCTTGCAAGCACTGCAGTGCCTTGGCCTGTCTGTGATTCCCGGGTCTGAACTGCAGATTTACAGTGATCTGCACAGACTTAGTCACAGACTTACTTGCCTCACCCAAATCTCTTAATCTTAAAACTAGATGAAGGAAAGACTAAATGGTCAATGTGAAGCCTTCTCAAATGCTCATCTTTTGTCAAGTGTTACCTTGCTCTGAAAATCTTAAGCAAATAAATACAGAAAACCAGTCCTTATTTACTAATGTTATAAACACTGGAGCTGGGATGGAGTTTATTTTCCCTGTAACAGCCCTCAGGGTGCTGTGTTTTGTAT